ATCCTGTTTAATCGCTGAAGTGGCGTAAATCTGCCCCGCTTCTTCTTCTTCAATCGTTTTTCTGATGAAAAAATAAATAAAAATAAATAAAATGAACGAGCTTTTAAATAAATTATATATATATAAATTTAACTTACTCTGTACAGGTGCAGGAGGTGGGGCGTTCTCTTCCTCTTCATCTGAAAGGATAAAAAGCATCATATTTTTTACTTCAAAATTTAATATACGCTGCGGAGCGGTTTTGTGAAACAGCTTACCGGCTGGCTGCTCAGGAGCACGTTCAACGGTTTCAGAGTCGCTGTCGGATTGATCTGAAAGAATAAAAACAAGGAAAAATATGAACGAATCATCTTTGAAGTAAATAACCACCTTTTTATATATATCTTACCCTGTGCAGGAGAAGGGGGAGGAGGAGGAGGAGGTGTGGGCAGAGATATTGAAGCGGCTGTCGGATGTTGTTCTGAAAGGATAAAAACAACGGTAAATGTGAACGAGTCATCTTTGACTTATTAATCAGTTGTTTTTTATCGTTACCATCCGTCTGCGCAGTAGAAGGGGGTGGAGGTGGTGGGGGCTGAGATATTGGGGGTGCGTAGGCCGTCGGCCGTTGCTCTGGAGAATAAAAACGATAAATATGAACGACACATCTTTGACTTATTAATCACTATTTTGTAATCACTTACCAGCTTCGAGGATCGTCTGTGGTGTGATGGTCCTGTAACGAACAGCTTTCGCGTTCGCTTGTGATCTGACGGTCTGGCTGGGCTGATTCGAATGTAAGACGGTTCGGCTGGTGGATGGAGGCGTGGTTGGGTAAAAGTTATCACTTCCGGGGTAAGGTTGAACCCCCTCCTTTTCTGTAAAATGAGATATTTCTCAGCTGAAGAAAAGAACGTTACGTATATATTTATAAAATCCACTCACTCAGATTGTCGACCGCACGGTTAATTTTAGACAAATCATCCAGGTGAAAAGCTACCGGTGTTTTACAAGTTAATTCCTCTATAGGAATTTCTTCCCACTCGTCGTCCGATATGACAATAGCGTCTGAAAATAAAGATGTTAAACCAGAAAGAGAAAAAAAAGATTTGCGTCTTAAGTTAAAAACTTACCCGTCATCTTAGCTTGTTACACCTCAAATCACGACTCCGAAAATGCGCTTTACATTTTATACCGCTGTTTAAAAAAATCTTGAATAGAAAACGGTTGCGATTGGTCGGAAAAAAAATGTTTATAAACAATACAGTCATTTGCTTTGTTGTATAAGTAGACAAATGATTGAATGGCTGATTAGAGTTGGTAACCCATAGAGAGTCAGACATTTTCTGAAAGGTGTGTGTGTGTGTGTGTGTGTGTGTGTGTGTGTGTGTGTGTGTGGGGGGGTGTTTAACTCGTATCCATTGCTTCTTCAAAACTCCCCAGAGCATAAATAAAAAAACCTTTACGATCCAAAAAATAATACCGGACCGGTTTTGTACCGGACATTTCTTCCTGAAATCGGTTATGTTTCCTTAATAATGGATAAAATGTAGCAGCTCCTTCACTCGTGTGTAAATCCGTTTACGACATGCATGTGCCTTAGTTTAACTATTCTGAGAGGTAAGACATTAAAGGTTTGATAAAGAAGGTACGTCTGCTCTGAGACTTTACTAATCCACCCTCCCCAAAAAAACAAACCTCATAAACAGCTTTTTATTTAATTCAGCTGTTATAGGTCCTACAAAAAGGATCAAACCTTTCTCTAAGGCAGGAAGCAATGTGTGTGTGTGTGTGTGTGTGTGTGTGTGTGTGTGTGTGTGTGTGTGTGTGTGTGTGTGTGTGTGTGACAGTGAAAATAAAAAGTCACAAAATGTGACACTAAAGGCAGGAGGCGATGGTTAAGCTTTCACTGCTGATGATGACGAACCAAAGATGCTGTTCACCTAAATAGCTCTTTGAAACAATAGCATGTCATTTGCTTTTGTGTGTTGTCGGTTCAGCCAGTTCTTTGTTTTAAAACTTTCCCGCCACCTGCAAAAAAAAAGGAAGTCAATTGCTTTGTCAGAAGTCGCCGGCCGTGCCAGCTTGGTTAGAATGAACTTTAAGAAAGCTCAACAGATCTTTGTTGACCAACTTCCTGGCACTCTTTCAAACAAACCCACCTGCAGAACAATACAGAGTCATTTGCTTTGTGAGTTGTCGACTAAAAGCGTCACGCTGAGGTAAGGATCAACTTTTATTCTTATAGGCTTGAGTATGCAGGGTGCTTTACAATAGAACCATAAATGGTTTAGGATGGTAAACCATTGCTTTTGTGAAGTGAGAGAAATGTCTGAATGGTGTTTAGAGTTGGTAACCCAGAGAGAGTCAGACATTTTCTGAAAGGGGGAAGTGCTTTAAGTGTGTGTGTGTGTGTGTGTGTGTGTGTGTGTGTGTGTGTGTGTGTGTGTGTGTGTGTGTGTGTGTGTGTGTGTGTGTGTGTGTGTGTGTGTGTGCTTACAGCCATTAATTTGATGTGCTGCTGGACAGAGAGTTTTACACAATAGTTTTAGTTCTGGTCAAAAAGTGTCAGTGAGCTGCATGTAAATATTTACACATTTAAACACAAAGTTTAAGACTGAACATACGAAATCCAATGTGAACATCTGCCAGATGGCTGAGTCTCGAGAGCAAGCAAGCAGACCCACCCCATTCTACAGTCAGATTCTTTAACTTTGAGGAGACCTGCAACCATTTCATAAGTACTTGACCAGCGTGTGGGGCTGTCATTCACAACAGTTAGGCCGCACTCATCCACTGTCAGTGAGCCATGTCATGTTTGATATAAAAAGTCCACGAGGTTAGACTGATATGGTGTGCCAGTAAGGGCTGGTTGGTGCTTCATGCATCTCCTCGTGGTTCATAATTTTTTCTTAGAGCTCGGCTTTTCACCATTCGGACAGATCTGAGCTTTTAAAGAGTTATCCACTATAGGAATACACTCAGAAGGGAGGGGGCTGTGGGAACCACTGGGGTAACACAATAAGAAACTTCACGCACCATTACACACATTAGCCTATGACGTGGGGGATCATGGACATATGGACGCTCAACAATACGCCATTGATGATGCGGCGTGGGGGGTCTAGGCCATCTGGACGATCAACAATACACATGTCCATTTGATTAATGATACGGAAGGGGGGGGGGGGGCATGGATTGAACAATACACCTGTCCATTTGATTAATGATAGGAAAGGGGGGCAAGGTCAAGGGTCAAAATGAACAATAGGACTGAAAGGTCAAAGAACAATAGACCTGTCAAAATGTTTGACGAAAGGTATCTTATTATGTCTCTCATATTTATGGAGATGCAATTTCATTTTCCAACAGGACTTGGCACCTGCACGCATGGCCAAAGCTACCAGTACCTGGTTTAAGGACCATGTTATTCCTGGCCTAGCCTCCATTGATGGCTCTCGGTTGTGGGGCGGGTTCTACCATTGTCTTTCAATCGATCGCTGCGTGCTGCTGGACAATGAACAATGTGATATACTCACCGCAACGAATGTCTGTAAATGATGCAGTCCGCAATTGAAGAAGGTGAAAAGACATCATTTTTTCTAAAAAAATAACTTAAATGCATCTATCTGCTCCTGATTCTAATAAATCCTTAGTCCAGATAGTCCTAAATTGATGTAAAAGCCATTTGAAACTAGCTGTCACCATCTTGTTCCTCTATGTTGCATCATCCCACCCACCAGACGAACAGAGGGTCCTGATCGGCCCACAAAGTGGATAAAGCGCTGTGATTGGTCCACAAAGGATTGAAACCCTTATAGAGAGCTGTAATTGGCCAGCCAGAATGCTGCTAGGGGCTGCAGAGGCTCCAATGGAGCGTTCCTAGACCAAACTTTGCAAGGCTAATCCTTGTCCTTGATTGGCCAGGAAACTCACCTGACCTTAACTCCATAGAAAATCTATGGGGTATTGTGAAGAGGAAGGTGCACCAGACCCAACAATTCTTAAGAGTTGAAGGCCATTATCAGAGCACCATGTATGAGCAGCTGAGCACTGCTAACAGGCTGATCAACTCCAGGCCAAACGGACCTCAACTAACTATTGAGTGTTGTACATATTCATACTTTTCAGTTGGCCAACATTTCTAAAAGTGATTTTTTTTGCATTGCTCTTAATTGATATTCAAATGTTCTGAGTTACTGAATTAGGGATTTCATCATCAAAATTTCAAAACAGTTAATATTTAAAATATCAATCTGTGCGTATTGAATTAATCTAAATATAAAAGTTTCACTTTTTGAAATGAGTTATTGAAATAAATCAACTTTGTCATGATATTCTAATTTTAAGACCAGAACCTGTTTTTCAAACTTAACATCAAAATAAGCAGACGACAAAAAGTCATTTGAAAGAATAAATTTAGTAAAGATTTTACATTCTAATTTACATTTTTGACACCATAACCACACATATAAAACACGCGGCGTAATTCTTTATGTTGAAAAATAAATACACTTTTAATGTACAGTTGCAATTACTAGCACATGTCTATAGTAAAAATACTACACAAGGTTTAAATTCTTTATGTCATATTTGGTCAAAAAGGAAAACCTAGGCAGGTATAAATGTATAAACAGAAGTTCTGTTGACACGCAAAATAAAATTCCAGTACTGTGCAACGCAGTGACAGAGAGGGACACAGCCACATTCAAACATTGTATGCAAGATTTAAAAGAAATAAGCATATCTTTGTGTCTGGTTTCATCTACAGGAGGTTCAATCTGTGCATGCCAGAAAAACCACAACCACAAAAATGAGGTATTAGAATAATGCCCAGGGTTCAATCTCCTGAGTCAAAACCCAGAAACCTGATTCCCGTGTCACGAAACAAAAAGCTCTCCTTCTACAGTGATGAGATGACAAGCTTTGAAACTTAAAAGACCACTCACTATATTTAATTATAGCTTCACAGAAGAAAAAGATCTTGGATTTCTCATGATGTCATAAATGAATTAAGCCTATAATACAGAAATACAAAAGTGAGAGTGTGGGCTAGTTTCTACTGACCAAGCTGCACTCAGAAACTGATATGCAAAAAGAAATCTGAGTCACAAAACATTACATCTGTGTCACTGATTGTACACTTGTGAATTTTAATTAATAAAAAGATGCATTATTCATATATCGACTGTAACTGAATTAACTATTACAGTTTTAATTCCACCAACACAAAACAAAACATATTATCTGAAGTAAGCAGAGGCCTGTGCTTTTATTGGATTATTAAAATGATGAGGAGTTGTGCTCTTTTAGCATTGAAAAAATACCCAACAGCTCAATAATCATCTGTTTCATTGATTTTTTGTGCAATCACAGAACTAAGAAGGCGGACACAGCTGCCAAAAAGCTAAACAAGCATTTTCTTTTCAACAAAACAGGCACATTCATCTAAAATGTCTCCTCCTCTACACTCATCGTTCCTCTTCAGCATCCTCACCTCTTCATTTCCAACATACATGACCTTCTAACGTAACATCCTAACACTTTCTTAAAGCGGCAGTGTGTCGTTTTACCTTTAATCTCTGGAAATATCCATCAAAATGTTGTTGAAAATGAATAAAATGATGTCCAGTCCTTGGAAATAACAGTGGCTTTGTGACATAACCATAAAATCTGTCTACTGTCTTTGGAGGACGCCATATTAGACGCCATTTTTCCTTCTGGCCGGCTCAGGGTCCTGCTCCTTTAAATGACGTCACACTAGATGATTGGCTGGATATACGACTTCACGACGTTCGAAAACATTTAGGTTGTAAGAAACACAAATTTAATAACAAAACTGCTAAACTCTTTCCAAAACCTATGTGAAAAAACAGAATTGAAAAAAGATGCAATATATTTTGGCCGAATGGTATTGCCGTATTATGATGACGTCATCAGCAGGCGCAAGACCCTGAGCAGTTTCGGAAACTATAGCGCCAAAAAAAAAAAAAGAAACGCAATCGGCATTGCATTCTCTTGATGGAAGGTCAGAGTATTCATTTCATTCAGCCAAACACTTGACTTATTACACATTAGAGATTCTTTAGTGATTTGTTTACCCACATGGTGTGTGTAATTTCTAGCAGTGCCCTTTCTCACAAAATCTTCCCTTTTCCTAGCCTTTCTACCTATTTGTTCTCTGGGATCCAGACGCCTTCTGGAGATTTTAAATAAAACTACCTTCCCTTTACATTTCTCTCAGATTTAGGAGAGAATTGATTCTTCCTCTCAAACAGCAGTCTGACTCGATGCTTCCTGACACGCAGCAGAGGAGCAGCTGGTGAAAGCACAGATTGATTCTGTTTGTTATTTTCCACAGCTCTGGACAATTTTACTCTAGGCGGACGGTCACTTCTAGGATGAGGGGTTACTTCACAGGAAGTGGCGTGTCTCTTAACCTCTGTTGATCACATTGTTTTCAGAATGGCTTTTAATGAGCTTTGCAATGATGTGCACTAGATAATAAGTCCTGCTGTAGCGATACCTGAGCCAGATTTCACACACAAAAAGCATTTACAAAGTCTCACATGGCTTTTTAATCCCGTAACATCGTTTAGCACAAGTCTACGAGGTCCGGTAGGTCTTGATGATATCTTTGATTGTCCTTCTGCAGATGGGGCAGCACGCATTGGCCATCTTCTTGAGTTTGAGGCCACATCTGTAGCAGAGACACATGTGTCCACAGGCATAAAGGACGGTGTCCACCGCATTCTCGTAGCAAATGGTGCATTCGTCACTCCATGAGCCGGAGCAGGATGGGAAGGTGGGGGACTCGGGGTGGCTTGAAAATGGAGAGCTTGGGGTTGTACCTGATGAGGTGAGAGAAAACATGAAAAAGTAGATTTTCTCTTCCTCTCTTTAGCTAACGAAGCTTCAGGGCCACTTTATGAAAAATCTCAATACAACTGACGTAAATACTTCTGAGATCGTCGAAGAACACAACACCTGACTGCTGATTGTACCAGGAGAATAAATGTCATTTATAAAAAAAAATCATAAATAAGTTTGGGCACTTTTAGGCTAAATTTCTGTTAATGTGAACTATTTTATAAATGTTATATAATAAATGAATGACTTAAACTGAGCATACACTCATTATTTTATAAGATCTACTATGGTCACACCCAAATGAATGAATGCCTTGTGAGTACAAAGCGCTTCTGTTTTCTGTGCTTCTGTTTCCGGGAGAACACGTTAGTCATGGGAGTTGGGGATAGAAAGCAGCAAGATTTGGAGTCTTACTCATATTCAAGATATGCAAATATCTTGCCTCTGATTGGCTAACAGAGATGCAACTCTTCCACTGCCTTTGCTCTTCTTTCGTGGGTAAAATAATTAAACCATGATGTCTTATTTCCGCGAATCACACAAGCCTGAATGTGTTCCACCATGTTTTGGAGTTGCTAATGCTAATGGTTAGCTTCTACTAACAGAGATACACTCTGTTCTCTCCTGGCTGCAAACAACAAACAGCCTACCCCGGTCACGAACCAAGACAAGTGAGTTCATAAAGTCAAAATTCACAATGCGACGTAGATCTGTGTGACTTTTTCTGACCCGACCATTTCCTTATCCATTTTCTTCTGGCAGCTAATAGGTGTAGAAGACTATTTTCAAGTTCAACATGTGAAACTCAGCGTTGCTGATCGTATTTCAGAATGAACATTCTCATCTTGAAGGATGAAAGTGAATATTTGAGCAATCTACATTTGAAGTCGCTTTTAAAATGCATCACAGCTCCAAAATGCACAGATTAAACCACCAGTCTGCAACCTGCAACACTCCAGTAAATAGCTGTGAGAGTTATGAAAGTAGATGTATCAAATCCTTCATATGACTTTTGCCAGAAGCTATACAAAGCCACTGCAGAGACCAAAGACCTTCGTGTGGCCCCAGTTACTGACCAGACTTAATCAATGCTTCCTGTAGCTATGAAAACAAGAGATTTTTCTCATTTCTCCTCATTTCACCTCCACTTTAGCAACATTCTTGGACTGTCTTGCATCACACAGCTTTTATTAAAATTTTATCCACAGATATTTGAAGGTGTTTACACTGGAAAACTTTAGAAGTAAAGATTAGAAAAGAATTTTGTGGATTTTTAGAGGGTGGACAAACCTGCTGAGGAAGAAAACAGCGTGTTGTAGTTGGAGTTAAGGCTTGCATTGAGGTTGATTTTCATAGAAGAGTTGAGGGTGGACTCAGAGCTGCTGCTGTTAAGGATTGTTGGGGTGTTGGGTGTACACGACGGGGAGCTGGGCACCGATGGGCCTCGATAGTCAGCATGCAGAGATGAGCCTGTGATAGATTTAACACACCTGGGTTAACACAATCTTCTTTATAGATGATTAAAACTTAGTTTTACAAGAGAAAAAGAAAAGATAGATAAAAATTTGTGTCACTAGCATCTTGAAGTAGAGCAAAGTAGACAATTGGTTTATCTAACCGCCTCATTCTGTCCCTATTTCTTTTTCACACACATTAAATCAGTTCTATCACGAAGCAGATCACTATAGTGAGCCCACTGAGTGTGCTTGTGTGTGTGGGTGTAAGAGTGAGTCACGAGCCCATGAGGCCCTCCTCCCTTCCTTCCTCCTTCCTGAATCCATGATCCCTCTGGGTGAGAAACAAAACACTTCCACAAGACTATCTGCTGTCTGTCCCATACGATCCATCCCTAACTGCACCTCCTAACCACCGGCGCAAGCATCACTTCTCATACTGGCAGCTCATCTCTCCTCAGACACAAACAATCAGACCCATTTCCACAGACGGACAAATTCTGATCTTCTCTGCCTGACTGGAAAGCAGCATTGTTGTCTACACATTGTCCTTTGCAGAGATATAGCTGCACAGCCAGACCAGCTGTTTACTTGGCACTAAACATGCTAGATTAACTGATATCGGCACCTTTCATCTTTTGCAACAATTTGATAATCGGAAGAGTTCTGCAAGACAGCGTGGGCCTCCCTCCCACAAAAACAGAAAGATGAGATGAGATGCATTATCAGTTCTTTCCTTAGAGCACTTCAACCAGTGTATTTGCAGTTTCAGCTCATAGAAACAACTTACAGAAGCTTTTTATGCAACAACCAGATTCCTACTAAAGGTCAGCAAAAATAGTTTATATGAATACAAGTCTTTTGGTAGTGCTTTGGTCTTCACGGTGCTGAGATTAAAGACAATATCACTTTATTTAGACACACCTTTACAGATGACTATTGATTCTACCATTTTATCATGGGAATAGATGTGCATGTATATATAAAAAAGCAGAAAGAGGCCTTGCATTATCAATCTGTAATGACCTTTTTTGTCCACCTTGAGCTAAGTAAATGTATTGGTGAACTCTTAATAGGCCAGAATGGATAACCTCCATGTCTATGCACGTACGCTTTCATCAAGGGCACTTTTCATCTTCTCTTGCTGGCTGTGTGACCATGGATGCTTTTAGCTATATGCAGAAGGTGGGGATGACTTGTCTTTCAGATATGTTTGTAGGGGCTTTGAGCTTTCCCTTAGAATTATGTAGCTTTCAACTTTACCCAAAAAATAAATAAATAACTAAACAAACTGTTTATCTGCACTGTTAGCATCAGAGTTTGCATTGATCTGACATTTTTTATTTGTTTTTTTTTTCAGTTGTTAGCTGTGCTTCCATATTTTTTCCTACAAATTGTTTTTTTTTAGTTATTTATTTAACGTAAAACATTGGGTTTAAACTAACATTTCAATATTTTTAATGGCCTTTTATCTGGGTCGTGACAAACTCGGGGCTTGTCCGGGATTTTACCTAAAGTCTACTTGTTTGTCTGTGTATAGATTAATAGGAAAACATAGATTTATCCTAAATCTTTGTGCACTTGGGACATTTCTGAAATAAGACTGAGGATTACTCTTAATGACTTATCATCAAACAGCATTTTTGTAGCAGCTAAGCCGCATTAGCAATGTCAAACAGTCCCAGTAAACTTTACGCAGAACTCTGCTGCAGCTCTTCTCTTTCAAATCAAACCCAACCTTTCAACTTGTTTGCATTCATGGTTTCCATGGTGTTATTTCCCGAATGTAACGTTACAGACTGCCTTTTATCTGTTAAAATGTAACTTCAGTTTAGTTTTCCACTTGAGCCCTTTTCTGGTTTTTACTCTATGAGGCCAGCAAACACGATCCGTCTTGTCTCTCCAGAGCTCAAGACACTCAGGAAAAGGTTGTGTGCTGGAGCAGTTCACTATTAACCTGGGTCAAGACCATCAGACCACATACAAGATTGATTACTGGATGGACTATTGGAACACTCCAGGAATAAGGTCTGTCACCTATTTATAGACACTGGCACACATCAAATGAAAGTTTGTAGTAAAACTGAACGCTTGGTCAATCAGTGCAGTTAATTTGATTAAAACAATGCTCAATGAGTAAGTGGCAAAGATGAGTGTATAAATAATTATGAAATGTATCCGTTAGTTAAAAGGTTAATTCTTAAAGTAAGAACATAATTTAAGCTGTGGACTGTGAAAACAAGGGTTACCTTAAACAGTGGAATCTTTGCAGAGTCAAGTTTGGCATTTTTCAGTGGTTTGGACTTTAAATGGATCCCAATTCCATATTTGGACACTTGATCAGCTGCTGCTTCACATAAGTTTGGACTTTAAATGGATCCCAATTCCATATTTGGGCACTTGATCAGCTGCTGCTTCACATAAATCAACCATAACATTATGACTACTTCAAAGGTTTCTTTTTTTGGCTGTTAAAACCTGTTAAAGCAGCTTGACTAGTCAACCTGCGAACCCAAAGCAAATAAGGGATTTTACCAGTAGGTCATTTGGGTCAAAAGGATCATTGGGTAGGTTTCCTATAAACTGGGTTTGCTTTTCACAAATTCCATCTGCTTAGTATTTGTAATCTAGGCACTGCAGGCCAGGGGCGGCGTTAGGCCCGACTACTTGGGCTGAAGCCCCGGATCTTTCATGATAAGCCCCGGATCTAAATCGCGGAAGTAACATGCAGTACCAAAGTCCAACAGAGAGAGCGCAGCTGGCAGTAGTTTGTAAAGTCCCATTTAGTCTCCGCATTTGACCCATCCCCTGGGGGAGCGGTGAGTTGCAGACACGCCGCGCTCGGGAACTATTTGGTGGTTTAACCCCCCAATCCAACCCCTTAATGCTGGGTCCCATTTTTCTCAAAAGCTTTGGTATGAGCCGACCAGGAGTCGAACCCCTGATCTCCCGATCTCAGGGCGGACACTCTACCACTAGGTCACTCAGTCGGTATACAGCCTGCCTGAGCCTCCACCACTGAAGAAAAGCCCTTCAGCAGCTGGCTTCTTGTACAGTCTCTGTCTGAAACGCATGAGTGAAGATGGACATAAGGACGTTTTTTTAGACCAAAAGTACAACGACAGAATCCCAGCTCTGATGAGACTGGTGTTGACTCAGGTTTGTGAGTCTTATTTGAAAATATTTGTTGTGCTGCTGGTTTGCCTAAAGTTAGCTTACTATCAGGTAAAGTTGTTGGAGAAAGAAGGGAATATTTACTATCATCTCACACTAAACACTAACAGGAACAATACTCTGCCCTGAATATGCTGAATATGTAGCTTCAGATTAAACATTATGTGGTACAAGATATATATATATGATGTTGACTAGTGCGTGTCACGTGTGTGCGCGCATGCTTGTTTGTGTGCGCGTGTGTGTTAAGCCCCGGATCTTCTTCAGTCCTAAATCCGCCCCTGCTGCAGACTCTTTCGAGGCTCTGTCAAGCAGCTCCTGACGCCCAGCTGAGAAGCAACAGAGTATTGTGGGAGAGTGCTGTTGCCCTGTAGGTGGTGTGATTGGTCTTTAGAAATGTTTAAGTGGGTAACAAGTGACATAGTCACACCCATATGAATGTAAAGATGCATGTTTCTCCCAGAAGAACATTGTTTTGTAGCCCCATTTGCAGTATCACCTGTCCATGGTAATAAAGCAGCAGCAGAATAGTGCATACATGTATCCATAGCAGCTTTAAAACAACTGCTGAGAATACAAAAAAGTGAACAAATGATCCTCGAAAGCTGAGGAGTTGCATGACTTCTGTAGGCCATTACTGATTCTAAATATATCAGATGAAATGTTTAAATCTTGGTTTCTAGGATAACACAGACAAAATGACCAAGTGACAGCAACAGACTCCCATCTGTTCCACTTCACAGGCTTGACAGCACCTTGCCATGACAAACTGTCACTTGCCTCAGTGGTTAGATGTCTCCATGGTAACTTGTGGCATGCAGCTGCAGCGAGTGTGGGTGAGCACAGACGCCACAAATGCATCCCCCACGACTGGAATGGGTAATGACTCGAGGAACGTACCCCAGAGAATCAGTATGGGGGTAAACGAGGAACGAAAAGCAAAGGATGAAGAAAAAAGGAATGAGACGATCAGAGACCACTGGTACAGGAAGTAGGTGTGGGTGGAAAACCTAGCTTCTCAAATCTCCATGCAATTAAATTTTAATAATGCATTATGAGGTCATCATAAGAGGCTATCACAGGCTCCCTCCTGACACATAATGCTGGCTGCTGGGAGCCCACGCATGACAGAAATAACTTCCTTAGTTACCGGTCTCACTGCATGGAAGAGTGGAGGGAGAGCAGAGCATCGAGAAAAGATTTACCAAAGAAAATTAGGAAAATTGATCAATAATAAGTGCATTTTAACCTGCGGCAAAGTTCATCTCAAATTATAGATTTGAGGAGCTATCTGAGCTGCTGGGACAGATTCAATAATGGCTAAGCTAGCAAAACAAAGGCTGGTTGGAGGAAATTAGTTTTCAAGGATTTAAGATGAATGTTGTCTTCAGTGATGGTAAACAAATAGAAAATCTTCCCAATCATTCCTCTGGCAGATTCAAACAAATCTGTTAACCCTGAGTTAAACTAAATATTTCAAACCTGATGTTTGTTTTTTAAAACCCACAGTTTTACATTTAAAAAAGTAATTTGGGACGGGCAATTTGTCCAAAAATCGCTGAAGATTTTATGTTTATTATTTTCTCAATTTCTAATCAAATCACACAAACATCCAGCTGCGCTATTGTTGTGTGAAATCTGCTGGAACATAACCAAACTAGCGCATGGTTCTGAGTCTGAGAGTTAACATATATAGGCAAATTTCTGGATGAAATTCTAATTACTAGCTGACATATGCATGGATAAAAAGTCAGAAAAGCACTGGGATATATTTCAGGATTTGACGAGAGTGCAAATGCAGTCTCCAAAGATTGTACAAGGATCAAGGCCTGCATTAGTTTTGAATTAAAAGCTACAGATGAAGTCTTTTGTAGATCTGTGGAAGACACACAGATTTATACAATGAAAACTATCCCCACTGTTAATAAAGCTAAATTTAATTCAAATTTAATCAAACACCTTGCTTTGACTTTTATTTCCCTTCGATGTGAAAACAAGCAGAACGTAAAGCCTAACCTGAGATTTAAAATGAACTATTAAGTCCTTACTAGTGGATGCAATCACTACGATAAGCACTTTCTGGACAGGTTACAAAAATAGTCCATAACAGGCAAAAGAAGCATCTTATGAATTATTATGAGCTCTGAAAGTACCTGCCACATAATTATTATAGAAAGAGAATGAAGACTGCTTGAATGTACCTAAAATCCTGAGTTGTGTGATGGTGCTGGGCAGACAGATGAACATCCAGAGAGGCCTGGAGTTATCCACACACAGCTGCATTCCAGCACTGATTCCATTATGGCTCATCGTGACCTCCCCCTCTGCATTCATCACAAAGCCCAAAATATCTCCACTCTGAAGTGGCACCGCCACCCTACACATGGCCCAGAATTCCTTGCGATCAACCAGGGACTCTGGGTTGGATGGGAGATCACAGGGCCTCAAGGTGGACGGGTCACAGGACGTCACACCATGAGAAAGAGAACCAGCTCGGGTGACTCCTGCCTTCACCTTCACAAACACGGTTTCTGAGCATTGCACTGCACGGTTGGTGAACACCAGGGTCCTCTCATCACCACGGTGATCCAACCGTGCCACCGTGTGCTTGTCCAGCATGGTGACATGGAGGCCGTGCACCGTGTGAAACTGAAGATCGGTGTCTAGGTGGCTGGGCAGTTGTGAGCACTGCTGGGAGTTGTGAGAGTTCTGGGGAACATGGCAGGAGGAGGAGCTTATGCGCTGCAGCTGTTCTTCCTCTTCATCATCTTCCTCTAGGTGCAACTCTTGTGGCTGCAGACTGAGGTCACACAGGCTGATGGAGAGGCGAGGGTCATGACTGTTCCGCCGGACGGGGGCCTGGTGGGTGGCAGCAAAGGAACGAGGACGCAGACAGTCCAGAGGGACCATCTCACTGTCTATTAAAATATATTAAAACACAAACATAAAAACAAAATGTTAAAGACATATTATGACTTTTTAAAAGTTATAATAGTCCTATGATCTAAACATAACACGTTTGACAGTTTTTTGCACCAAAGACTACTCACATGAAGCCATTCCAGCAGTTTAGACATTTTCAGTACCTTCCAGAATGAGTCAGTTTCAGGGCTCTTTCACTTTATGAAAACAAACAGAAGCTGGCCAAGCCCACCCACCCCCCAAACCCTAACCCTATAGGCTGCTATAGGCTGAGAAGCTCTGATATTCGGGAGGGGCTTGGAGTAGAGCTGCTGCTCTCCTCTAGGTGAGAGATGGCTCTATTCTAATTTTGTTATTGTGACATCACAAACAGACTTTCTGAAATGACTTGTTTTAGGCATTCAATTTCAAAAACCAAACACTGACAGAAAACAGACAGATGTTTATTTTCCATGTTTGAATTGTATATAGAAGCAGTAGAGACCCACATGGCAACACAGAAGGATGCAAGAGCTAAGATTTTCACAATATGTCCTTTTAAACAATTAATTGTTTTTTCTTTCTTTTTTAAGTATGCATTTCATTAATAGTTCTAATTTTATATTTATCAAATTGCACTGAACAAAACTGTTTAGTTTTATATTGTGTTGGCTCATTCATCACACCTGCCACTGTAAATAAGAAGTAGCTTCTGACTTTTTAAATTTTCAATCTGAGGCATCTCTGTACCAAGGATTGCTCTCCAAGCAGACGAAATAATCCGTCAACATGCTTAGAAACATTGCAGAACTGTAAATGGGGGCCAACTGTAGCTGCAGGCCTATTCCTACATCATAAAAAATACATAACAGGTTTATGTAACATTGAAGGAATAAAAGATACAGACCTAACTCTTCATTTATTCCTCCTGGTCATGTAATAACGAGCCATATTTTTCTTTTATTATCATTAACAGTAGATTTATAATTGAGTCATTTTTGTTAATTTGAACAAGGCCAGTTTAAATTCAGCTTTTGTCAAGGACTGAACGTGTTTATGTAGTATATGTATATACAGTATGGCGAGTTTCAGATACCTGCTATGTGCTGCCACAATTCCTAAGTGTTTACATACTGTAACAAACTGTGGCAGCAGCAGTGACTTCATGGACCTCTGTGCAATGTTAAGATTCTCTGTTATGCGTCTGGATGTTTAAGTCAGCTACTTTCCGACAGTTGTGAAGGAAAGGCATTCTAAATATCACCTCGCGTGTCTTTGTCTTTGCTGCACTGAACCCCTTTCACAAAAAGCCATATGATAATACCCCCTCACTGTAAAAAGTTGTCACGCGGGCACCACCAGTGCCAGTGAGAGCACTAAAAGAGAACGTGCTCTCCATGCTCACAAACAGATCTACATTGTGGCACGCTTAGGGACTCGGTGCCAAAATTAGCCTGATTGGACATCTGAGATGAGTGGGGAGGCAGGGGAGGAGGATGAGGGTGAGTGACATGATGGCTCTCAGCCTCGGCCCGCTTTGGGCTTCCCCTATGTGAAGTGGATGAAGAATAAGAATAAGCCGGGAGAAGATTAGATGAATAATAGCGCGGGGCGGACACTTGAGGCAAAGGGCATACCTCACCAAGCTCCTCTTTTATCACCCAAAGACAGCACATCTCCAGCCAAGCGCTGATAAACTGCTTGAACTTAATTACTTCCTCTGTCAAGAGTGTGCACAAGCAGCCATGAGGCTCTTATTATTAGCAGCCTTATCATCTTCAAGGCAAAGTTAGCCGACGCTGGGATACAAGAGATCATTTCTATTCTTGCTTTTACGGATGCCTAAAGTGTACGGTTTCTGTTTCTCAGAGCTGCGCAGCAGTCGGAGAGGAAGAGCAACGTTAAGTGAAAATTTCAACCTATTGTGGAAAGATGCATTAAAGTTGAAAAGGGGCAAGACAAAGGATAAACATTTGGGAGTTGTATAAATATGTATGCTTCTTTCTGGGTTTGGTCTCAAAAGGAGCCTCGATAGTTTCACATGTTTGGCAAATAAATAAAAAATAAAGACCCTGAAGTCTCTCAGTGAGAATGAGATATGTTTTCAGAAAAGAAAAACTAAAAACTGAATATTTAGAATACTTTCTTTCAGGAAATCATTTCATCCATAAACAGGAATCCTAATGAGAAAGCATCTTTTATTATGTAAAGTGTTGACTGTATTAAAGTTGAAGCAAAGTAAAAAGTCCTGCAGTACGTCTCAGAGATTTTCATTGGGGTTAAGATCTGGGCTCTATGGGAGTTCATATGTAAAAATCTCGTCTCGTGTTTCAAACCATGTTTAACGATCTGAGCTCGAAGCATGCCGGCTAGTCACTCCATGTCACATGGTTGATTAATCCAGTGAAAACTTATACCTAAGGGTTTTCCAGGATTAATTGATAAAATATATGTCAGTTTCCAATTTTTTTTACATTTTTTTGATAGGTGGTTAATGAAGGCTGTCTGATATGTGCTGTATGACCGATGTCAGTGCTTGGTCCACATTGCCAGTAGTAGGTCGAGCTCGCTTCCAGTGAGAGTTGGACTCCGCCAAGTATGCCCTTTGTCACTGATTCTGTTGATAACTTTTATGGACAGCATTTCTAGGCAATGCCAAGGTGTTTGGTGGCCTAAGGATTCAGTCTCTGCTTTTTGCAGATGATGTGGTCCTGTTGGCTTCATCAGAACGTGATCTAGGGCTCTCACTGGAGCAGTTCACAGCTGAGTGTGAAGTGGATGAGAATCAGCTCCTCTAAATCAGAGACCTTTGGTCTTGAGTCCAAAAAGGGTAGAATGCCGAGTATTCTGTCATCAGAAGTCTGGTGGACTACTGGCGGTTGCGAGTGGGGCCCCTTGGAGGTCTTGGCGGCAGCCATGGGTCACTGCCTGACAGCTGCGTTGCCCCTGGGCGGGTCTGGGTGGGGGGCCTGGGGGCTCAGGGTGTTGGGGTGGCCGACCCCGTGTGGGGATCTGGGCGGGGCCTTGGGGGTCGGGTCCTGACATGTACGCTGCCAGGAAGAAGGCAGGAACATGCAGCAGTGCCTGGCCTGGGTTCAGGGGCCTCGGGTAGACCTAGGCTCCTCTGCTGTCCCATCACAGGGGAGGGGGAGGTCCAGGAGGAGGAGGACCCAACCTTACCTGGATGTCCTATGTCTTATATATATTCTGGAAGTTGTGCAAAGGCAGGGATGGGCATAGATATTCTGCTGGGGTGGGGCTGGGTTGGTGCCCTCGGACTCCGTGAGGCTCTGTAATGCTGCTGCTTTGGGCCCTGGCAGGATGGGCTGGGGTCTCCATGCCCTGGGCGGCAATTTGACAACAGAGGTGCCTATTGGGGCCAGTGGGGGAGCTGGCTCCCTGGAGGGCTAAGCCCAACCAGCCGTTCCTCCCCATCCCCTCATATTTCTCTCCTCCTGCTCCCTCACATCATCACACAAACATGCACATAGGACCTTGGGGGGTGGACAAGTCAGAGAGTGCGGGTATGGACCCCATCTCCGCATTCCTGTGGCAACCTGCCCCCCAATTTTATTTGCACCTTATACACTTCCACCGACAGCAATCCACGCAAACACACACTTAGGGCCTTGGGAGTGAGCACATTCAACGGCACTTGGCAGGGGGATTTCTCAGCCTCCTCCCGAGTGCCAGTGCTCACTTCCAATTTTAAACTGCACTTAGACACAGAGGGCTGTGAGTGCAAGTGGGGTGGTGCGGTGTCATCTGCTGGCATAGGCCAGACAATGCCCGCACTGCCCGCTCACCACAGCCATGGAATACACCTCATTAACACACAACACTATATTGGAGCAGGTGGAGGGAGACTAGGGGTCTTAGCACACCTCTGTTGTCGCTTGGCTTCCAGGGGCTGGAGGCTAGGAGGGAGATCTGGCCGTCTGGTTGGGGTCTGGGGTGGTGGGTTGCTGTGCTCAGCGTTGGGCGGGGGAGCCTGCTCATCAGCACCCCAGCAGAAAGGGTCAAACTCTGGTAACTGGTGATGGTTGTACCCCATGTGCAGCAGTACCGGGACTAGAGTGAATAAGGTGTGTATGGGGATGAGTGGATGTCCGGCGTGCATTTTTGTACGTCATTGGTTGTATGTGCATGTGTGAGCATGAGGGAGGGAGTGTGTGACTGTGTTTGTGTATGACTGTATATGTCAGGTGGGGCATTTGACTCCTCCCCTCTCCTGGGACTTCTTTTGATGATAGAGATCTTTGTCTCTCCTCCCCCTGCCACACCTGGTGTGGGGTGTGGTGCCTTGGTCTGCCTGAGTGTTCGGGGCTCCCGGGTCAGGGGGTTTAAGATTTTTGGCGTCAGCCTGATCAATCCCGGTGGCGGCCTGGTAGGGTCTGGGTCCCTGGGCTCAGCTGGGTCCCCGGCGGGGGGTGTTCGCCCCGGTTCCCGGGTCGCTGGGTCCCGGGCTCGGCTGGCTAGGGGGTGGGAGGCTGCGGGCGGGCCTGAGGGCTTGCCGCTGATGTCTCCCGGGACTCTGCCGGCTGCTGGTTGTGACCCCCGGGGCGATCCTCTGTGCCTCTTGAGGGGGGCGGGGGCCTTTCTGGTTGCAGTCTCCTTGGGGTTCCTGTGTTCTGGGGCAGCGCCTGGATCTCTGGGACTTGGAGCTCTCCCCGTCTTCTACGCATCTTTGGGGGGCAGATCTGTGGTCCCTCACACTCTCTATTTGACGCTCCTGTAGATAAACCTTACATAAACAAGCGCGTGTACACACACAGGTGCTCACATGGTGCTGTCAAAAGTATGGGCACGTTCAACACATGTCTTAAGACTATGGTGGGCACTTAATGCATTGTGATTTATTATCGTGTGACTGTTCAGTTAAACAATGCTGATTATGTATTTCTTCTTCAAGTTGATGCAGTGACAGCTTGATCTTGTTGTATTGTTGTTGTGTCCCTTTTTTTTTGCTTTTTTTCTTGTCTCTTTCTGCAGGTCTAGAAGCAAACTCTTGTTCATT